TGCGTAAACTGTGGGAGATTGTTAACAAGAAAGGAATATTAATAATCTCAGCCAGTGACAAGTGGACTATAGCAGTACTGAATCAATACATTGGAGAATGGTACGTAAAATTGATCACATGATAGCCACATGATGTTTCGTTTGCCTTTTAAAGGTTTGAATTGTTGTACGATGCTACTGTTAGTGGTAACTTTGTAACTACATGGAAGCTAAAACAAGACTAATGTAATTTTTTAAAATTCCATTTATTTGCTGTATATAAAATGTATGATCTTTATAATGAGATTCATTTGCGACCACATTAGATAATTTCACATAATATGCGATATGCATGAAGGATGGTCACGCCTATAATTATTATAACACACTCCCATAGCTCATTGATCAGTCGACCTCGAATCGGAGCTTGTGTGGGCCAGCAAGAGCGATGCCTGGAAAAACGGCCCTGGAGCTCTTGAAGGAGAAGAAGCACGTCTTCACTTCCCTCCGGCCTCCGAATCTCTCCAGTTGCACGAGAAAGTAGGCAATTTAACGCTCCATTAGCTGCTATTTTCTTACTGCAGCCCACATTACAAGTCGATATCTGTTTATGAGTACAGTAGACTCACTGATTCCTTTTTACAGGGATGTCCGAGAGTATTTTGAAAACACTTATGATCTTGACGAAGCTATATTTACAGCTCTAAAAGGTACTATGGCCCACTGACTGCGTGTGAAAGCCTGCAAACTGATTGAGTGTGGGCTAAAAATCGCGAAAATCATTTAATTATCCTTTTTCTAGATGAGAAGTATTTCTACATGTGCCCTGATAGGCTTCGCCTGCCTCTCATCTTTTATTTTGCCCACACAGCCACTCTCTATGTTAACAAGCTATTGCTAGCTGGACTCATTAAGGTATCATGCACAACAACAAGTTCTAGCTATGCTTGTATATGGCATAATATTGTCATTTATATGCTTGTTAATGCAATGCTACAATTTTATGAGTTTGTGCAGGTACACTTTCCAAATTTAATCAACTTGACCACAAAATCAATACACTGAGTATTGGTACTTACCATTGACATTACAAAACATTACAGCACTTACATTCTTCCTTGCTTTTTGGTTGTTACTTTCTCCCTTTTCCTTTTCCTGTATAGGAGAGAGTTAATAGAGGTTTTGAGACAATGTTTGAAACCGGAGTGGATGAAATGTCCTGGGATGACACAGTTAGTTAATGTTAAAATTTTAATAGCAAAATATTAAACACTGAAAGGCGACTTTTTGTACGTAATATATCTTGTGTTAGCTGTTAAATAAAAAGATATGCAACAATCATGTTTATTTAACATTCTGTCATGATTTGCAGGAGAACTACAGGATGGGTGGTAGCTATCAGTGGCCCTCATTGAGTGAAGTTATGGAGTACAGGAGCAGAGTGAGGGAGCTGGTGATTGAAGTGATTGAGAATGCACCACTCACTCTACCTATAACTATGGATCATCCTTGGGTAAGACAATAGCATTTCTTTGTGTTTATACCTCTTCATTGTTTAGTGGAGTATATTTATGGGGCTGGAACATGAAAGGTTACAAATAGGAATTGTAATTTTAATAGTAGTATCTTTTCCATCTCCTCCCAATCTAATTCTCTCCCCTTTCTCTGTCTTTTAAATAGGATTCATATTGAGACGTCGTCAGTGTTGATACGTCAGTTACCAGTTGATTATTTGGAGTGCCCCACTAACTGGAAGTATGCTCCCATTAATTCTCCTACACCAGTTGGTCCTAATGCATTCATTAAAGTGAATGAAGGGGAGATTACATTAGGTAAGCCTACTGACTTCCCTACTTACGGCTGGGACAATGAATATGGAACTAAAACCATCAAGTGAGTACATACCACACATAGAATGATAATAGTATAACATTTAGCATTTACTATACAAAAGAAGGCCCTATACCTCTTTTGTATTCTGATTGGCATTCAGTTGATTTCAAATTGCTGTATAAGCCAAGAATTTAAAAGCCCATTGTTACACTTCTGTATAGTTGCTTCTTTGCTAATTGTTAGCTATGCCTTTATGGCCCTTTACCAACATGTTTTACTATCATTTTTAATTAGCTTGCATACCAGTTTTATCTTTCATTGGGTGTAGTAAGGTATAGTGTCCCACTGATGATAATCTTTCCTCAGTATACACTAAGCAAATTTTCATACCGCCCTTAGTTTAGATAGTCAGTGTATAGGGTTATCTGAAAAACAAAATGGAGCTTTTTTTTCTGTTAATTGTCATTTTAGAGTTCCTGCATTTGAAGCAACTCAGTATCTTATTACTAACAAAGAGTTTCTTGACTTTGTTGCTGATGGTGGATACAGTACTAAGAAATACTGGACTGATGAAGGTAATAATCAAATGGCATTGTTTACCTTGTATTAAAATGCAATAATTACTATAGGTTGGCAATGGGTTCAGTTCAGGCAGCCAAGGCATCCATTGTTTTGGGTTTGTACTGATGAATGCAAGTCTAACTGTGGATCCATTCTCTCCGATTACTCTCACTGTAACAATGAGAGTAATGGAGTGACCAATGGGAGCACCCATTCTAAGTACAAGTAAGTAAATGATGTCATGATGAAGTCATCAGTTGATCTCATTGTGGGCCCATATATGATAGTAGATGCTTGACTGATATTATAATTTTAAAATTCATTCATGTGCACAGGTATCGTGCTTTGTATGACGTCATTGATATGCCTTGGGACTGGCCAGTTGATGTTAACTATCACGAGGCAAAGGCATACTGCCGTTGGAAAGGGGCGGAGTTTAGACTACCGACTGAAGCCGAGCACCAGATCATGAGAGGAGACGATGTAAATAAGCTTTTTTTATTTTAATTTTTTTAATAATTTTTGTAGCCATTGTCTTCAAAATATAGTTGTGACCCAATCAATCGCAAGGACTTTCATTGCAACTTTAACTTTGCCTATGGCTCTTCAACAGTAAAAATTTTATAAGATTGCCCTTTAAAATTTTTCTTTATTTCTTTCACAGCCTGTCAATTTTTATCCTGCCAACTCCAAGGGTTTTTATGATCTCTATGGCAACGTATGGGAATGCACCGAGGACCATTTCAATGGCTTCCCTGGCTATGAATCTCATTACCTTTATGATGATTTCTCCTCTCCTTGCTTTGATGGAAGACACAACATGATACAGGTAAAGCATTGTGTATTTGCATTAATGACTATTTTTGCAAGAAGGCCAACTATTATTAATAGTCATTTATTAACTATTATTAATAGTTAATTAACTACATTTTGTTTGTAGGGAGGTTCTTGGGCGTCTACTGGTGACCTGTGCTCTCGTTTTGCTCGCTATGCTTTCAGGAGGCATTTCTATCAACACATGGGCTTCCGGCTAGTTCGCTCACTCTCTCCTTCCTTTGGTACTCCAGTTAAACTCTGTGACTGCTCTGCATTTGTGCTTGGACTTGGAGTCCACAGTAAGGAACTTGAGAGCATTGAGAAAACTTAAGCCTGGTTGACATATAGAATGACCAATGTGGTCTTATCGGGTTGGGGTTATATAGGACCTTGAGGCCTCATTTATAGGTGGAGCAGGTTACTGTAAACTTTTTTTAACTACAAACTAACTGAAATTTTAGAAAACTAGGCCAAACACCATTGATATGTGAGATTGAGCCTTCTGAAATATAATTGTGGAGATAGAGCTGAGGTCTATCTCCACAACAGTTGTATGTTAACCATACAAACAGAATCCATACAATTAACAGCCACAACTGCATGCATTGTTATCCATTGAGCCATAGTGAAGAGGCTATCAATGCATTTATTCATTTGCTATAGGTAATCCAGTCACTGTTGAAGGAGTTGATGAGACTGCTTGCTTCTCTCCATCCACTAATAAGCAATACGTTTATGACGATGAGGACCTTTGCCATGATTGCATTTTGAATAAAATGGGAAAAGTACTTGAGCCAAATATCGCTTTGCTTTAATTTTTTTGCAGGACGTTGATTATGGGCAACCATTGGTGAAGTATGTTAAGGAGATTTTGGGGTCGTTAGGGGCGGAGACTGGTAGCGCTATGGTTGCTGGGTGTGGTCCAGGCTATACATCGTTTCAGTTAGGGGCAATGTTTGATAGTGTGCTTGGAATGGAATTTGGTGGGAGGTTGGTTGATGCTGCAATTCAATTACAAAATAATGGTGAAGCTGTCATTGGAGATGATACTGTTGCACTGTCTTGCATCTCGTCGCCACTGAGAACTGATAATGTCACATTCAAACAAGTGAAGAATAACATTACATAGAATATTGATATGAGTTTTATTTGCAGTTGACTTGGTTTCCAAATGAGCTTGAAGGCTTTGATTTGGTACTGTTTGAGTTTCTAGACAGACTCAACGAACCGAAAGGTATTGTATCAGTATAGCTATAGTATTATGATTTATAATGAATTCATTCACATTCACAATAGGCTGGTTGCGTAAATTGTGGGAGATTGTTAACAAGAAAGGAATATTAATAATCTCAGCCAGTGACATGTGGACAGTACCAGTGCTGAAGCAATACATTGGAGAATGGTATGTATACAATCAATCACATGATAGTCACATGATCTCTTTTTTAAAGGTTTGAACTTGTCCATGAGAGCAATGTGGATAAAATAATATCCACTTGGAGGCTAAAAGAAGATTAAATGAGAAATAGAGATGATTTTTGTATTATGTTATGGACTCAGTTTTATTTCTCATATTATTTATTAATCTTCAGAGCATTATTATTAATTTTAACATTTTGCTGCTAACTATTTTAATCTTTGTTGTAGTTTTTTCACCATGAGTTGGTGATTTTTTGCTATGCTAATTGAAAATCTAAGAAAAAAAAATAAAAATATGCAAATAGCTGTCACTTTTTTAATATTGCTTACTGGAAAAAGTCATCAGTGTAGAGTTTGAAATGTTGAAATTGGAAGCAAGCCTTTCTCTGTTAAAAAAAGAAAACATTTATATGTGTACAATACATTACATTCATGCATATAAAGTAGCATATGTATGCAAATAATTCAGCTACTATGGACTGTAATTCTTTTAAATTGTTAGCCAAATTATAGCGGTAAGTGATATCACTTTTCCCAGTAAGTTGCATAACAGTTAACGAAATATTTTTATTATAGTTAGTGGTACAGGTGTTCCAACTATCTTGCAACTAGAGTAGTATTTGTATGATTTCATGTCTGGCTTCTCTTTACACATTGCATGCTTCTCTTACTATCTCTGATATAATGGGGTCTAGTTTATCTTCAATGTCCTTCTCCTTTATTGCAATATTCAAGATCTCAATCAACTATGATAAAAAGAGATATAAGGTTTAGTGCATGTACATGTACATATATGCATGTATTTTCATTCCTTACTGTAGCTTCATAGGCGGGAAAGTGCAGCTGCCAAAGTAATATTTTAAAATCAAAGCTAAAAGAGCTCGTCTCCCTATGAATGTCTTTCACTATTAAAGTTGTTAATTGTTCTAAAAAATTGAGAGAAAGGAGAGAACTATAGATACATTATGAAGACATTAGAATTCATGATACAAAGCTACATATGTACTTCATTGGAGAATTGTGTGCTTGAGTAAGCAATAGTGTCGTATGCAACAAGTCAATTATCTGCAACAGGAAACATAACTGTTTGTTGAGATTATGTTCAAATTATGCTTACTAGTGGCTGTGCAGCTGTTTTTGTCAGCAATGATATGGATTGTTCCGAAATCGAATGTAATATCTTTATTCCAGTTTCGCTAGGACTAAAAATGAACAGAAAAAGGATAATTAAAATAAAAAGATGTACTTACATTTGATTTGTTCTTATTTTACACATGACATCTCTAATAATAAGTGATGAAAGCTAATTTTTGTTATTATTAAATTTTTATGGAAATATTTTTAAAATACTTCTTTTATGATTAATTCAATGCATGTAGAGTAATGAATGCCACTTCTCTCCCAACTTTTAGCTGCTAATTCTGGCAGTATACTCTGTCCACCTAAAAATAATTGTGAATTTTGAAGCACTATCAAAGCAGTGTACCTTCAACTAGCTCTGAATTGGAAGCCATTTTGTAGGCGTGGCAAACGACATCATATAATTAGTAAATTAGATATACGGAGGAAGTATATCTCCGTATACTGTAAATTGGTAAAAATGGCGGCTTCTGGAGGAGCTCCTCCAACAGTGTCTCCCTTTACAGGAGGAGGCGGGAGCGGTCCAGGGGGACCTCCAATGGGTAGTAACATGTCTCTTTATCAACAGGTCCCGCCTAACAGCAGTCTTCCTCCTGGAATGAGAGTGAGACAATTTATTTCTTATTACTAATTAAAATTTAATTATTAATAGGGTGGAATGCAAGATGTGGACTCGATGTACAGTATGGGTGGGGCTCAGATGATGGGCGGAGCTTATGGCGGTCACATGCCCCCCGGGGGAATGGTACACGTACCTCCAAATGTCGGAATTGGTTCATACTCGAACCCAAGTATGGGACTCCGCCCACATTTAAAACCGCCCACGAACCTCTCGGCGATTCAAATGAAGTTATTGAGCGCTCAGATTAAAGCGTATCGGTGTCTCGCTCGTAACATGCCCCTCCCAGATCAGATTAAAAATCTCGTTATGAGTCATGCCGCTAATGTGAGTAGCCATGCCCCCTCCTCGTCATCAGATACAACTTTATCACGATCGTCTCCAAAGCCACCTCCCGTTACCGGGGGCAACCAGGCTACCAGAGCGACCGAGGAAGTGAAGAGTGAGGAGGGAAAAGGAGGAGGAGGGGGAAAAGTTGAGGGTGCGCCTGTCGCTGGTAAGGGCCAGGCTCAATTGAAACAGGTTAAACTAGTACCGACTGGTAAACCGCCAGGGATTGATCCTGAGATTATACTGAAAGAGAGAGAGGCGAGGTAAAGAGAAGATAAGTACTGTAAAGTACCGTATAGTAGGTAAATTTGGAGGGGCTAAATTTTGGTGAATTGCTAAATTTTGGTGATTGGCAGATTTTAATTTGGCAAATTTGTGGCCACGTGCCATTGAGCATGCGTATAATGGCTCAAAATGGCGGGTTTTTATTTTGGCGAATGGCTATCTAAACGCCAAATTCGCCAAATTTAATCCCCCCCAAAATTTCCCGCTATACGGTACATGATATACAGTAATTACCTGTATACAGTAATTAAGTATTTTAAATAATTATTATTATTAATTGTGTGGCTTTAATATGCTACTGGTATAAAGTGTCATAATGCAAAATCTCTTCTCTTAGGATTAAAGCTAGGATAGCTCATCGTATCGTTGACCTCCAGTCCATACAAGGCGGCACTCTTCCTGACCCCACCCTCCGCAAGGCAATGATAGAACTAAGAGCGCTTCGTCTCTTGGAGTTCCAGCGTCAAGTAATAATAAACCTATTGCCCTGTCTTGTTTTACTCCCCTCGTTTTCATAGTTACGGGCCGAGATCCTTTCTCACGCTCGACGTTCGACGACTTTGGAGACAGCGTTGAATTTGAGAGGATATAAGAGACCAAAGAGGCAGAGTCTGAGGGAAGCGAGGATAACTGAGAAGCTGGAGAAACAGCAAAAAGTGGAGCAGGAGAGACGGAAGAGACAAAAGCATCAGGTAAGGAACAGTGAATGAAAGTAATGTCTTCAATGCTTCTCTCTCTCTCTCTTTCTCTCCCTTTTCTTCCTCTTTCTCTCTCCACTCCCTCTATCTCCCTCCTTTTATTATCTAGGAGTTTTTATCCAGTGTTCTCCAGCATGCTCGTGATTTTAAAGAGTTCCATCGACTCAATATAGGAAAGATGTCAAAGTTAGGGAAGGCAGTCCTCAATCATCATGCTACATTAGAGAGGGAGCAGAAGAAAGAGCAAGAGAGATTGGAGAAGGAAAGACTCAGGAGACTAATGGTAAGAAGAGAGAGAAAGGAGAAGAGAGAAGCTTTCTTTTGTAATCTACTCTCTCTTTCTCTCTCTCTCACTCTCTTTGTTTCTCTCTCTCTCTCTCTCTCTCTCCTCTCTTGTAGGCTGAAGATGAAGAAGGCTACAGAAAACTGATTGACAAGCAGAAGAACAAGCGATTGGCTTATCTCTTGCAACAAACTGACGAATACATTGAGAGCCTTATTGAAATGGTGAAGAAACACAAAGACGATCTAATGGCACTTAAGAAAAGGAGAAAATCATCTCGTAGGGGAACTGTATCAGAAGTAAGCCACACCTACTTAATTAATGTGTCACACCCACTAGTAGTTAATATGGACACACCCACTAGTACTTGATTAATGGGCACACCCACTTACATGTACATGTATTAAGTATCATTGTTTAATTAATTCATTAATTAAGGGGCTGCTCCTCCTACTTGAAGCAGCTGCCCCTGCTTGAAAAATTCAAAAGATCTCAACCTGATGCTTTATACAATGATAGCACCTGGTGCTTATATAGCAGGAAATAGTGATTAAGCTATCGTGGGGCGTACTAATCATCATATTCATTGATGACATCACATCCTCTTATCTAAATTTACACATGTACATGTATTTTTATAATCTTATTAGGGTCAAAGTGGCGATAAGGATCCAAATGAGAGAGTGACAGTCATTGAGACTTCAACTGGTAACAAGCTGAGCGGAGAGGAAGCTCCGAAGAGGGAGGAGCTGGAGGCATGGCTTAAAGAGCATCCTGGATACGAAGTGATTGAAGAAGAAAACTCTGACGAAGAAACAGAGGTAGATAGTACATGTACATGTATTATTATTATTATTATTATTATTATATTATTATTGTTATTATTATTATTATTATTATTATTATTATTATTATTATTATATTATTATTGTTATTATTATATAACTATAGTCAAGAGTGGATAATTATTTAGGGAGAGTGTCTAACCTGCCTATATTCTGTGATACCACAGTGCGTATGTTTACATCCGTTTTTTGCAAGTATGCAGAGTTAATCTCAGTAATCTTCAAATTTATGGAGGACGCAAGAATGGCTACTTGGTGCTAATAACCATGCTATGTAAACTTACGCACTGTGGTATCACAGATTATAGGCGGGTTAGACACTCTCCCTAAATAATTATCCACTCTTGCTATAGTTCACTATTGTTTTATGTAGTGTTTAATTTTAGCAAATTTACATGTACATGTTTTTAACTAAAATTAAAAGAAAATCACAGCTTAACATAATAACATGTATTTTATTTTAAATAACTATTATTATTTCAGGACGATGATGATGCTATTAAAGCCACAAGCCCTACCCCCACCACACCAGGTGCTACTGATATTGATCCTAATGATCCTACCGCCATCATTGCTAAGGCGAGTGCTAACGCTGACGATGAGTACTCATCAAAAACCTCCGATAAGAACTATTACTCTATTGCTCACACTTTCCGTGAGTCTATTGAGAAGCAACCGACGCTACTTCAGTTTGGGACGTTGAAGGAATATCAGGTGAAATTATTATCATTATCATATCGTTTTATTTATTTTTGTTTATTTATTTATTTATTTATTTATATTTACATGTATTAATTTACAGTACATTGTGTATTTATTTATTTTTATATTTATTTATTTATTCATTTATTTAAGTACATGTATTTAGTCATTTATTCATTTATATATATGTATTATTTATCTATTTATTGTTGTTTATTTTTGTTGCTTATTGTTGTTGTTGTTTATTGTTGTTGTTGTTGTTGTTGTTGTTGTTGTTCTATGATAGATTAAAGGTTTGGAGTGGCTGGTGTCTCTGTACAACAATAATCTCAATGGTATATTAGCTGATGAGATGGGACTGGGTAAGACTATACAGACAATAGCACTGGTGACTTACCTCATGGAGAATAAGGGGAACAATGGACCTTTTCTTATCATCGTACCACTATCGTGAGTCAATGGAGAGAGAGAGAGAGGGTTAAAGTACATGTACATGTAGTGTTGTAGTTTTTAATAAAATTTTGCTTAGGCTCATATCAGTGGATTTTTAAGTTGCTCCAAATTTTGATATAACATCATGTACTATAGTACAGGCTATTTTTGTCAAAAATGACTAGGAGAGAATTTTCTGTTTTTATAATGTTTCCTGATACATATGCATGTTTTTATGTTGTGTAGCAAGTTTGAAGTGGTTCCGATCAAATTTGGATTTTTTACAAATTTTTAAAATTGCTCCAAAATCAGGCAAAAGTCACTGTACTATAGTACAAGGATACTGTATTTTGTACTTTTTACTTTGTTGGAAACTCAAAAAGTATTTGTCGGAATCAGCTCAAACTTTCTACAGAGCATAAAAACATCAATATGTATCAGAAAATGTAATAAAAATTAGGGGTCATTTTTTAGCCATTTTTTGGAAAAAACCATGGGCTATAGCCTTGGATATTTTTCAAAATTTTGGCGTTTTCATAAAATGACCGTAACTCGAAAAATTGAAGTCAGAATCAGCTCAAACTTGCTACACAGCATAAAAACATCAATATGTATCAGAAAATGTAATAAAAAATTGGGGTGATTTCGGAACCATTTTTTGAAAAAACCATGGGCTATAGCCTTGGGTATTTTTCAGAATTTTGGCATTTTCTTAAAATGGCCGTAACTCGAAAAATTGAAGTCAGAATCAGCTCAAACTTTTTACACAGCATAAGGACATCAATATGTATCAGAAAATGTAATAAAAATTTGGGGTAATTTTGGAGCCATTTTTTGGAAAAAACCATGGGCTATAGCCTTGGGTATTTTTCAGAATTTTGACGTTTTCTTAAAATGGCCATAACTCGAAAATTTTAAGTCGGAATCAGCTCAAACTTGCTACACAGCATAAGGGCATCAATATGCATCAGAAAATGTAATAAAAATTTGGGGTGATTTCGGAACCATTTTTTGGAAAAACCATGGGCTATAGCCTTGGGTATTTTTCAGAATTTTTGGCATTTTCTTAAAATGACCATAACTTGAAAAATTGAAGTCGGAATCAGCTCAAACTTTCTACACAGCATAAGGACATCAATATGTATCAGAAAGTACTTAACTAGTTTTTTGTAGAACCCTCTCCAATTGGGATCTTGAGTTTGATCGTTGGGCCCCATCAGTCGTTCGTGTAGTATGGAAGGTACACATTACCCCTCCCCCTCTTTTAATTAATTATAATAATCAATAGGGACCTCCCCTTGTCAGACGTAGCCTTGCGAATCAAATCAAGTCAGTCCGGTTTAACGTGTTGCTGACCACCTACGAGTATGTGATGAAAGACAAGGGTCCGCTATCAAAGGTAGGTGTGGTTTATGTTTGATCATGTGACTATCACATGTACATGTAGACAAAATGGAAGTACATGATTATTGACGAGGGACACAGAATGAAGAACCATCACTGCAAACTGACGCAGATATTGAACCAGTACTACGAAGCACCACACAGACTCTTATTGACTGGTACTCCTCTACAGGTTAGTATACTGAAAATATACTGAGATTTACTAAGAGTATACTGGGATTTAATAAGAATATACTGAGAGTATATTGGGATTTACTGAGTTTTACTATTTTTAGAACAATCTCCCTGAGTTATGGGCTTTGCTTAATTTCCTCCTTCCAACCATTTTCCAGTCCTGCAATAACTTTGAGCAGTGGTTTAACGCACCTTTTGCAATGACAGGAGAAAAGGTGACCTTAATAACTTTTAATAACCATTAATTAACTATTAATTAATTGACTATTAATTATTGATAATGTTAATTAGGTTGAGCTAAATGAAGAGGAGAAGATTCTAATCATAAGACGTCTTCACAAAGTTTTGCGGCCATTTTTATTGCGACGATTAAAGAAAGAAGTTGAAAATCAGCTACCAGATAAAGTAAAATTGAAAATATTATTTTATTTATTTATTTATTTATTTATTTGTTTGTTTGTTTATTTAAAGGTTGAGTATGTTATAAAGTGTGATATGTCGGCACTTCAGAGACAAATGTATGTTCACATGCAAAAGAAAGGTATCCTGCTAACTGATGGATCTGAAACCAACAGGAAGGTATGGGAATGGAATATTGGGAATTGAAAATAAAAAGAATGAAAATAATGTATATACATTTATATATGTACATGTATATAAAATAGATTTTTGTATATACAATTTAGAATACATTGTAGATACATTGCAGATAGGATTGATTAATAATTATCACTTTCTTTTCCCTCTCTCTCCCTCTCTCTCCTCTCAGGGTAAAGGAGGTGCTCGGGCCCTCATGAATACCATTATGCAGTTGCGTAAAATCTGTAACCATCCTTTCATGTTCGAAGAGATTGAAGATGCCATCTTAGAGCACCAGGGACTCTCAGGAAACACTCCCAATGCCTCCATTGCTACTACAGCTGATCTTTATAGAGCCTCAGGTAAATTTGAGCTCTTGGATAGGATGCTGCCGAAATTTAAGGAGACGGGACATCGAATATTACTGTTCTGTCAGATGACACAGTTGATGACTATAATGGAGGATTACCTCCAATGGAGAGGTAAAGAGAGAAAGGGAGAGAGAGAGAGAAAATTAAAAATTAAAAATTGAACAAAAATTAAACAAAACGTACAACAATAAAATGGACTAAAAAGAGAATTAGACGAGCTATTACATGTGCATAATTTTTCTTTATTATTATTATTTTTATTGTTATTATTATTATTATTATTATTATTATTATTATTATTATCATTATCATTAGGATACTTATACTTGCGTCTTGATGGTGCTACCAAAGCTGATGATCGTGGCCAATTGCTTGAACTCTTCAATGCTCCCAACTCACCTTACTTCCTGTTCCTACTCAGCACCAGGGCAGGAGGGCTGGGTCTCAACCTTCAAGTGGCCGATACTGTCATCATATTTGATTCTGATTGGAATCCTCATCAAGTGAGTGGGCATATAACATTGAATAAGTGGGTGGAGTTATTGAGTGAGTGGGTGGATACTGTTAAATAAGTAGGTGGAGCTTATCAAGTGACTGGGTGGATAATGTTAAATCAGTGGGTGGGGTAAAGAAGTAACTAAAATCATAGATGATAGAGTAAAAATATCGTATAATTTATCATATATACATGTAATAGTAGTTAATATTTTTGCTAATATTTTAATATTAAATATTTTTATTTTATTTTGTAAAAGGATCTCCAAGCTCAGGACAGAGCCCATCGTATTGGTCAGAAGAATGAAGTCCGAGTCCTGAGACTCTGTACAGTAAACAGTGTTGAAGAGAAGATTCTAGCAGCTGCCAAGTATAAACTGAACGTTGACGAGAAGGTCATTCAAGCTGGAATGTTTGATCAGAAATCAACCGGAAGTGAAAGGAAGGCCTTCCTGGTCGCCATATTGGAGGACGAACAGGCGGAGGAGGTGGGTGTGGTCAGTTACATTTATTATTATTATTATAATTAGGAGGAGCAAGAGGTTGCTGATGACGAAGCTCTTAATGACATGATTGCAAGGAATGAAGAGGAATTGGAATTATTTCAGGTAATCTGGTATAAATTTTTTGATTTGTGCAAAATTTTAATGGGTAATCTGGCAAATTTTTTTATTAGAGGATGGATTTGGAGAGAGCTGCAAGAGAAGCTATGGTTAGTTATTAATATTAGTTATTAATTAATAGTATAATTAATCAATCAGGATCCCAGCCTGCGTCATAAACCACGCCTCATTCAAGAAGATGAGCTGCCATCTTGGTTGCTACGGGATACAGAGGAGGTGGAGCAAATGGCCTTTGAAGAGAATGAGGAACGTCTTTTTGGATTAGGTAATCATTTTATTAGGAAACAATATTTACTTTTAATTGTATTAGTTGATTTAGTTCAAACAAGTTTAGTAAGTGATCTTTAAAACTTTAAATTAAAAGTCATGCATAAATATTAATAATAGTAATAGTTAACTAAAATTAATGAAAAAATGAAAATCTTAGAACTAAGCCCCCATTACATTACATTTACATCAAAACACACTAAAATCAGTAAAAGTGGTTTTTAAGTATAATTATTATGTGCATCTTTTAGGGAAGAGACAGCGTAAAGAGGTTGATTATTCTGAAGCACTGACAGAGAAGCAATGGGTGAAGGCACTGGAAGATGGAACATTAGAGGAGGTTGAAGAAACAAAAAAGAACAGAAAGAAAAGGAAGAGGAAGGATATTGCATTATTAGGAGAAGAGACAAAGGTAGAGAAAGAAAATAATGAGGACACCTTTATAATGAGGACATTTTGTAATGTCCCAATTGGCACTACAAGCCTATACAAAAGTACCTCTGAAATGAGGACACCTCTGTATTAAGGACAGGTAGTGTGGGCCCAATGGTGTCCTTAATAAAGAGGCTACACTGTACATGTATTAAGGACAGGTAGTGTGGACCCAATGGTGTCCTTAATAAAGAGACTACACCGTACAAAACTAATCTCTTTTCTTTTATCTCTAGAGTAAGAAGAGGAAGAAAGCTACTGCTGGTGTATCAGCAAAGCTAACTCGTTTATTAATTAGTCTATGGGAAGCAGTTGTAGCTTATCAGGATAGCACCAACCGAAGGATCAGCGAAATATTCATGGTCCTTCCCACCAGGAGGGAACTCCCTGAGTACTATCAGATTATAAAGAAACCCATTGATTTAAAGAAGATCAAAGATAAGATCATGAAACAGAAGTATCAGTGTCTCTCTGACATGGAGGATGATGTGATACTGCTCTGTGGTAATGCTAGGACTTATAATGAAGAAGGATCGCAGGTAAGGGGTCTTTAAAAATTCATAATAAATCCAATTTTTATCGGATTGAGCTCAAACTTTCTACACAACATAAGAACATGTAAATGTATCAGGAAAAATTATAAAAATGGAGAATTCTCTACTTTTCTTTTTTGACGAAATTTGGCCAATGACACTGTACTATAGTACAGCGACTTTGGCCCGATTTTGGAGCAACTTTAAAAATTCGTAAAAAATACAATTTTGATCGGAATGAGCTCAAACTTTCTACACAACGTAAGAACATGTATATGCATCAGAAAAAATTATAAAAATGGAGAATTCTCTCCTAGTCATTTTTCATGAAATACCCTGTAGCACTATAGCCAATGATAGAACTAACAAAAACTATCATTATCATTATCATTATTATTTATAGATATATACTGATTCTATCGAGCTTGAGAGAGTATTCATGGAAGCAAAGGCACAACTTGATGTAGATGAATATGGAGGAGTTGATAGTGATGATGAAAGACAAGTGTCTGTTGAAGTAATAGCTGGAGAGAAGGGAGAGAAAGAGAGATTTATTACTTAATTTATTTCATTTATAGGTTGACGACTATAATTCTGATACATCTGATGGTTAGTAAAAGAGAGAGAGAAAGAGAGAGAGAGAAAGGGGTAGGGAGAGAGGGGGAGAGGAAGAAAGGACTTCAATATAAACTACATGAAAGAAAGAAAAGCATAAATTTTGTTTTTCTCTCTTTTTTGTGTAGTGTCATTAAACAGGCATCACAGTGGTAGCAGTATGTCCAATACTCCCGCCCCCTCAGGGGGTGGAGCTTCAGTCAGTGGATCATTACCTCCCAGTGTAGCACGAAGTACTAGTAGCAGTAGTAAAGTAGGCCACACCCACATTAATTAATATGCCACGCCTCCTCATTAGGCCAGGAGGTCTCGTAAGGGACGTCCTAAGAAACACGAGAGGGTACCGTTGATTATAGAATCTGATAATGAGGAGAGTGCTCCGGTAATATCTCCTCAAACTGGTCTGACTGGTTTTCATTTCTTGTTTAGGTAACTCCTGAGTTTATAACTGGTTCACCTGCTTCCTCTTATACTTCATCTCTTGTGCCGTCTCCGGCTTCATCTTCAACCTCTTTCTCTCGCCGGAAATATTGAAATACATACTCTTAATTAGGAACTTATAACGATTACCATTTCAGGATCAATAATTTAATCATTTTCATTACTTTTAGATGTTTCTCACTAATAAAATAATAAAAAAATCAAAATCAGTGCCAATGTCATGTTTAGTATGGACATATAGTGAGAACCTGTAGAATACAGACAATAACTATAATAATAATCAAGAATATTTATAGTTTACATTAAAAAGTGAAAGAATTTACTACTACAAATTACACAGGAAAGCTATCAATGACTAAGTAATCTGTGAAATAATTATAAAAAACAACAAGAAGCAGCAAAAGGTGCAGTACAATGATTACATTAAAGCTATAACATACATACAATTTTAGTTTATCCTTTTCAATGACTCTACTACTTGAGCCATAGTAGGACGAGCTCTAGGATCAATTTTAAGTCCTCTTTGTATGAGAGACTTCATATCAGACCAGGAGACACTACCAGATTGTCGTGCCCTTTCTTTAATTGTCATTTCCGGTTTAGAATGTAAATTCATTTCCATAAGGAGAACAGAGTAACTGTAGACATCCATTGCTGGACTGTTTTGATTAGGATCACAAGCTTCTGGTGCAGCATATGCAACATTGCCTGGAAAAGCAGTACCACTACTACCTTCTTGCACTACTTTAGCTGTACCATAATCTGCTACTTTAGCTTCATAACCAGCAGGTCCAGTGCAAGGCTTTAATAATACATTAGGACTGCTCACATCTCTGTGAATAATAGGCTGAGGCTTAAACAGGTGAAGGTAGTTGAGGCCTAAAGCTACATCTTGAGCAATACTCAGAATCTGTTGATTGGTTAATCGGTTTCTGTGAAGCTCCTGATTAAGACTAGTGCTCATCAGCTCGGTCAAGATGAGAGGATTACCTACTTTAGTTGCACCAATAAACTGGACCAGGTTAGGATGACGTACTCGTGATGCTACACTCATTTCCCTGGAGAAGATACCTAGATTATAATCAGAGATGATGATATTATGAAGTGATTTGACAGCTACTGTTAAACCTCTAAAGATACCGACTGTAACGACAGCATAAGATCCTCTCCCTAACTCCTCCTTTGTCAAAGTCACCTCATCTTTATTAATAACCCAGTGATCATCAGTAAGTGTTTGTTGCTGGTACCTACGAACTGCCTCTTGAGACTGATGTAGCTTTTCATCCTTCTCCTGTAGCTCCCTATTCTTCTCCTGCAGTGCCACCTGATGCTCCCTATCTTTCTCCTGTAGCTCCCTATCTTTCTCTTGTAACTGGTTTTGATGTCTCTCCTCTCTCTCTGCCTCCTCTCTATCCTTCTCTTGTAGCTGCTGACAATATCTTCTTATTTCTTGATCTTTCTCTGCTTCCTTCTGCTCCATTTGCCAATGAAATAGTTTTACGTCTCTCTCCTTTTCATTCTCCTTTTCTTGTAATTCTTTTTCTTTTTCTTTTACTTCTCTCTCCTTCTCTTCAAGACACATCATAAGAGCTTGTATGGTTTGCTCAGTATCAGTTGTATCTCCTTTTTTTAGTTTCTGATACTCCTCCAACCATATTCTTCTTCCTAACTGTAGTTGCTGCTGATACCTCTTCTTGTAGTACTCGCTAGTCATGCCACTGGTATCAAATGTATCACCTACTGTCCACTCACTATCACTGTTGAGAACTAATTGTCAGATATAAAAACCATATAATATATGCAGGTACCATGCATTATATAGGAATGCAAATGTATACACTGACCTAGTTCAGTTAACATTGCAATGTTAGGATTAGTGACTAGTGTGCAAATCTTATCAAGAAATCCTCCAACAGTTATTATCCAGACACAATGAGGACTCACATTGAACACTGAGAGAGAATGAGCCCATCTCTTACTAACAGAGTGAGGCGCATCTAACTGTTAATAGAAATAAATCAATGATTGAATTAATTATATCTCACTGTAACAGTATAATAATACCTTTATCCAAACATGTTGAGTGACATTAAAGATCCAACAATCATCTAATGTGTCATTATTCTTATCCCACCCACCACTTATCACTAGCATAGGACAGTCTAATCCAATCATAATAATAGCACCTGCATGATAATATCTACCCACTGGCCATTGATCTATTGCTTTAGGTCTCTTTATACACTGCCAGAACTAGAAATAAAAATAACCATACCCATACATCACAAATTTTTTAGGGTTTTTAATTCTTTGGATTTTTTGCAATCCTCTGAAGATATGCAAAAATGTTTTTCATAAAAATTTCATGGAAAACATTTTGATAAAAATACATACAAGATGATAGACAGCGTGAATTTGTGTACATATACTTTCAGTACACTTAATTTAACATACCACAGTGCTGATTGATATCTCTAATATATAAATATTGTTTCGAGCAAGGGTTCGATCATCATCAGTTTCTAGCCCACCAAACAGAGCAGTATCATCTTCAGTCTCCATTCCACCAAACAGAACAGCTCTAGTGTTGTTGATCTTTTCAATGATGAAGGCATAAGCAGGTGGTATACACTGACCAATGATTGAAGGATTAGTCCATTCTCCTAATATAAAAGTATTTAACATTGTTTTGAAAGAATAACTTTACTTGATGATATATTATATATTGAGTGCTCATTAGTATGCCATCTTCCACCAGCGAACTTAATATATTTATAATGAGGTAGTTGTACAGCTGGTTTACATCCTAGTCCTCCTATCATTAGTAAATGGTGTACTCCATCATGTTCAAATGATATCATTCCACCATCACCTCTCCTCATAACTGGTCTATTTGCATCAGTTGGTTCTAATTCTGTCCATTGAAAACTAACGGTATCCAGTTGTGTAAGATTGTTATGACAACAGATGTCATGGCTACAATATCCCCCAAAATAATACAATTGATCATTTATTGCAGTACAGCAATATGCAATGATTCCTAATGGAGGACTACCAGTAGTATCTCTAGTGACCCATTGGCCATTTGAATGGGTAAAGTGCTGTACATGACTAGTGATCCTTGTCTTTTCTTCACTATCATGTACTTTAGGTAAATCAACCTGATCACCACCCCACACATACAGTGAATCACCTACTGATACAGCACAGTGTGTGGCTCTTCCATTCAGTTGATCTACAGTATATATAATAATGACAGAATGAAGAACACTGGACCGTGACTTACGAGATAGCTTCTCCTCGCTTACACCATAGCCTGCGCCTCTCCGCCGCTTAATATCAAGAGTATTCATGTGAGTAGTTGGTCCCAAGAAGTTGGAAGTCACTTAGCAACATCAATATGAGATAAAATATGGCTGAAGGCTTCCGCGTAGGCGTGCTCAGTCCGGCGTTCAAGTTCATTCAAAAATTTGAAATCAGGGGCTCTTGATTCAATTCAATTCAGTGTCTGCCCATAAAATCATGATAAAGTAATAGTATTACTGTACAACTGATAGTAATGATAGGCAATCTTCATCACTCCAAGTGTCATTATAAAACTACCAATTTTTTGATAGCTTTGATACTGTATTAATCTAAGAATAAATAAATAAATATAATCATGCATCTTAGCTACATGGTGCAAATTCAGAATAAAATAAGTAAAACAGTAAAAACACTGCACTTTGTAGCTAACACCCATGCATCTTGTTTGCATCATGCACCGAATGAATACTTACTTCCTTTTACTCAAAAAGACATTTAAAAAATTAAAACCACAAAACTATTGAAAAATACAAACAGCATTATTAATCAAGCTGAAACTAAATCTCTAAGGGTTTGTATAATTGCGGTATGATACTTCCAAGTCTATTTTATCAGCAATTTCTTTAAATGCTTCATTATTTTTCAATACTTCAATTAAAGATATCATTGCCTGAGGTTTCCCATCAATGGTAGCTTTAAGAGCAAACAGTAATAAAGCACATCTATCATGTACTGGTCTACCATCATTCATACACTCAGTTGCAGTAGTATCAGAAATTAGCTTTTTTGCATATAAGTTTATGATGATCGCCGAAAGATTATTTGGAGCTGCCAGGATGTCAGAAAGTGTATCAAAGTTTTCTCGTAGAACTTCTCCAGCTGATTTCCTCTCCTCATCATCTATAATTATAGTAACAGAATTAAATCAAGCAAGAGATTATACCAGAAAACATTACCAAGAGAAATTGGCCCTGTGTTTGAAGCAATAGTGCCTGCAGATGCCAGCTGGGTGTCACCTATATAGTCTTTAGAGACTAACTTATGTAATAATAACACTAACCCATTGTTAATACAATGTTCATTTTCTCAAAATTAGATTTTTTTATTCCTTGCAATGTGACAGGATAACTTAATTCCTTAACTGCACCTTCACCAGGTGTGGCTGTGATTGTAATGAGGCATTCTGGAAAACGAGGAGGAGACATGCTCCCATACTTATCAATAACAATCTGCCTAACCTACAGTAATTATAATATATAATACATTAGTATGAAGTGCTTACTCTTGTAGGATCCTGATGAGGTCTAACTGACCATCCTTTGGGACATTTTTCATCATCAAAGCATAACTCAATGAATCCATCATCATCTTTAAACTGGAAAGATACTTCAATACTTTTTTCAACATTTCTGAATGCTTTTCTAATATACTGCATGTATGAATAAAATAATAAGTAGCAGTAACAGAAAGATGATATTAATACCTCTATTAGTGCATTAAGATCTTTAGAAACAAGAAATCTCATCAACCATTCCCTTCCTGGCCTCTTGATCTCATACATCACTTGACTGTGGTAACACTTAATAGGTGGTTTATCTAAAATAAATTAAAGATAAAAAGTATGCATGCATGCATGCTTATACCTGCTTGAGTAGCTATTTCATTTTTTGTTAAAAGTGTGTTTGGCAGATCAAAAGAAAATGAAGAACTTGAAGAATGCAAAGATAATGGTGAAACAGGGGAAGAAGTTGAACATGGTCCATCAAAAGGTGATGATAAAGATGAAGAAAGAGTACGTGATCTTGCACGTGATGATGAAGTGCCTGGGATTGAATATGGCCGATAACGTCTTCCTGAATATGTTTTAATACAATACTTAGAGAATGTAGCAATGCTAATACTACCATATCTATTGCCAATAAAAAATTCCCCACCATCTACTGTATTGAACTGGTAGGGTGGCTGATTATTAGTTGAAGTAGAAAAACTAAGGTAATTACAGTGAGAAGATGTTTCTATGGAGACACAGTGCTGTATCTCCAGTTTCACGGGCTCAAGGAAAGGCTTGGAGAGGCTTATAGCATATACTGCACTAACAAGCTCAGTGTCTTCTGGGAATATAAAATCTCCTCCTACAAGAGCAGCAATGGTTATTTTAACAGTATCGGAGGGTAGCACTGCTCCTTGTGGTATTGTTATCCTTATACCATATTCCTCCCACTTAACTGACTGGGTAGATTCACCATGAATAAGATATGAATTCTTTGCAGCAACATGTACACCTTTAAGTTCATCTACATAAAGTACATGTCTCTCCTTTTCTTGTAACTGTTGGCAATACATTTGTATCATTTGCTTCTTTTCTGCAAGTTCCTTTTCTTTCTCCTGCAACTGTTGAAAATATTTATCTTTTAGCCTTTGTTCCTCAATTAACTGATGCTCTTTCTCTGCCTCCTTTTTTTCTTTCTCTCGTAACTCTTGACAATATTTTTGTATTTCTTTCTCCTTTACTGCCTCCTTTTCTTGATGTCTTTTTTCTTTCTCTGCTTCCTCTTTTAATTTTTCACAATATTTTTGTATCTCTTGATCCTTTGCTTGTAACTGCTGACAATATCTTTGTATTGCTTCATCTTGCTGTGTCTCCTTTCTTTCTTTCTCTTTCAACTGATGAATGTATTTTTGCATTTCTTGCTCTTTCCCTAATAGCTGATAACAGTAATGCTGTATTTCTTTTGCCTTTTCTTGAAAATGTTGATCATATTTTTGCTCCTTCTCTTGTAATAACTGAGTGTATCTTTGTATTTCTTCATCTTTTCTTTCATTTTCTTTTAACTGCCAGTAGTATTTTTTTTCAATTTCTGCCTTCTCTTTCTCCTTTTCTTGTAATAAATTGACTTTTTCTTGTAACTGATGTATTTCTTCATTTTTCAGTGCCTCAATTCTCACCTTCTCTTGTAAAAACTGCTGATGATGCCACTTTTCTTTCTCGGCTTCTTCTTTCTCCTTCTGTTGTAACTTGTTATGATATCTCTGCTCTCTCTCTGCCTCCTCTCTGGCCTTCTCCTGTAGCTCCCTATCCTTCTTCTGTAGCTCCCTCTCTTTCTTCTGTAGCTCCCTATCCTTCTCCTGTAGCTCACTATCCTTCTCTTGTAACTGGTTATGATATCTCTCCTCTTTCTCTTCCTGATGACAATATCTTCTTATTTCTTGATTTTTCTCTGCTTCTTCTCTTTCCTTCTGCTCCAATTGCTGGAAAAACACCCTCTGCTTTTCTTGCACTTCTCTCTCCTTTTCTTGCAGTTGATAATGATACATTTGTATCTTTTCCTCCTTTTCTGCAAGCTTCTCTCGTAACTCTTGATGATATCTTTGTATTTCTTTCTCTTTTATTGCCTCCTTTTCTTGTAGCTGTTGACAATGTCTTTTTTCCTTCTCTGCCTCCTTTTTCAATTTTTCACAATATTTTTGCATTTCTTTCTCTTTTTCTGCCTTTTCTTGTAACTGCTGATAACATCTTTGTATTATTTGATCTTGCTGTACCTCCTTTTTTTCTTTCTCTTGCAACTGATAAATATATTTTTGCATTTCTTGCTCTTTCTTTTGTAACTGATAACAGTATTGCTGTATTTCTTCATTTTTCAGTGCCTCAATTCTCACCTTCTCATGTAATAATTGCTGATGATGCCTCTTTTCTTTCTTGGCTTCTTCTTTCTCTTTCTCCTGTAACTGGTTATGATATCTCTGCTCTCTCTCTGCCTCCTCTCTATCCTTCTCTTGTAGGTGATGACAATATCTTCTTATTTCTTGATCTTTCTCAGTTACTTCCCTTTCTTTCTGCTCCAATTGTTGACAACAAACTTGTGCTTCTCTCTCCTTTTCTTGCAATTTTTTTTCCTTCTCTTCAAGACTCTGAATAAGAGCTTGTATGGTTTGCTCAATATTGGCTGTATCTCCTTTCCTTCTTCTCTGTAGTTGCTGCTGATATTTCTTCTTGTATTCTTCATTATTCATACCATTGGTATCTAATGTATCACCTACTGTCCACTTTCCTTTACTACTAAGAACTAATAAATAGATACAATAAATTAAAGTTATTAGGATTTGCATGCATGCATGACTGCAAACTAAGAGACAAAATAATGATCAAAATCATTGGATCTTGTATTTTTTTTTTTACTGAGATAAAACAATTTATTATTGTGGCATTTCTTACTAAGCTTAGGGTTGGATCCAACCCATTATATCTATTGATATCATAAACTGACCTAGTTCAGTTAACATAGCAATATTAGGATGAGTGACAAATTTATAACTCTTATCAACAAATCCTCCACCAGTTACAATCCAAACACAATGAGGACTCATAATAAACACCGAGAGAGAATGACCATTTTTCTTACTAACAGAGTGAGGTACATTTAACTGTATAATAGAAATAAATTAATAATTTACATGTATCTCACTGTACATACTTTTATCCAGGAATCTTGAGTGATGTTAAAGATCCAACAATCATCTAATTTATCATTATTCTTATTCAACCCACCACTTATCACTAACATAGGACAGTCTGATCCAGTTGTAATAATAGCACCTCCATGACAGTATCTACCCACTGGCCATTGGTCTATTGCTTCAGGTTTCTTTATACACTGCCAGAACTAATAAATAAAAATAACTATACCCATTAACAAAGATGTAACAGCCAGCTGGTATGGATCATAAAGAGGGGATTTGTAGTATACCATAATTTGCCTTTTTTTCGTACAAAAATTTTTCGTTTCAGAAAAATTCAAGTGGAAATATTTTCGTCTTCTCATAGTGTACGAAAATTTTTACAGTCTAAAAATTTAGCTTCTCTTGCATATACCTTGTCCTTTACCTACTGGTAACAAGGCCGCTATAGTATTGTTTATAATTCTTGAGATAAGAGATTCTTGACCTGGCTGTTCCCCGACATTACTAGTATACGGATAGTACTGGAGATGCAGCAATGATTAATTTATGGATAATAAACGGAAACATTAAATGGCTACTTTTGTCACATGGTGGACCGTTTTATTTTATAACTCAGTAGTGAAGCAACTGATTGAAGTACAGCAAGCACCAGTGGATAGAGCAAGGTTAGAGCTGTAAGAAGATACCTACTTATCAGGCTGTACCTTAGTCTTTCTTTGATGAATTAGGTCACAAATTTTGGTTGCTCAAAAATTTTCAATTGAAATATTTTCGTCATTTTAGGACCATACAAAAATATTTCCACAACAAAAAAAGGCAAATTACGGTAGTTTTGAATGATTTGACACTGCATACAAAGAGCATTGCAGTGAAATTTTTAGCCAAGTGGATGATGTGGCTATAGTGGTATCACTAATTGTTTCTAGATGGTCTCTGTCTGTCTGCGCTTTAAGAGATATTACAAAACTTTTGACTGAAAAATGAGTTTCTAGACAATTTTAGAAGGCAAGAGGATTTGAGTCCCAACCCTCCCCTGTGGCTTGAGTAAGAGTGGGTGTATATGTTTGCTTAATTTAACATACCACAGTGCTGATTGATATCTCTAATATATAAATATTGTTAGTAGCAGTATCCTTAGCTTTATCATCAGTCTCTACTCCACCAAACAGAACAGCTCTAGTGTTGTTGATCTTTTCAATGATGAAGTGACTAGCAGGTGGTATACACTGACCAATGATTGAAGGATTATTCCATTTTCCTAAATTAAAAATTATTTAATTATAATTTCAACTAGTAATAGAAATTTACTTGATGATACATGATAAATTGAGTGCTCATTAGCATGCCAGTTTCCACTAGGTAATATAATATATTTATAATGAGGTAGTTGCACAGCTGGTTTAGATCCTTTTCCTCCTATCATTAGTAAATGGTGTTCCCCATCATGTTCAAATGATATCATTCCACCATTATATCTCCTCATAACTGGTCTAGTTGCATCAGTTGGTTCTAATTCTCTCCATTGAAGACTAATGATATCCAGTTGTGTAATACTGTTGTGATAGCAGTCGTCATGGCCACACCATCCCCCAAAATAATACAATTGATCATTTATTGCAGTACAGCAGTATCCAATGACTCCTAATGGAGGAGCGCCAGTAGTGCTTCTAGTGATCCATTGACCAGTTGAAGGAGTAAAGTGCTGTATATTACTAGTGATCCTTCTCTTCTTTTCATTATCATGTACTTCAGGTAAACCATCTTGATTGCCAGCCCATACATACAGTGAATCACCTACTGATGCAGCGCAGTGAGCAGCTCTTTTATTTGGTTGATCTATGCATACAGTACACTGATGAAAAGTAACATGACAAGACTTACTTTTATGTGCCATAGCAGAGCCTGCAAGCTATTGAAGCTCGAAAGCTAGCCAACCCTTGAACCGTTCAAGGGTTGGCTAGCTTAACACCAAAGTCTAGACTCGATTAGTGATGGGCGATGTATCGATTTTTTATCGATATAAACGATATTTTACGGTATCGATCTGCATCATTATCGAAATTTTAATGCTGGAATAATCGATCTCTTGACCACGCCCCTTTATAACAGTTAACTAACCAATTTTAAATTAATAAACTGTGGTTAATAAATAATTATTAATAAATATTATAAATTATTAGTAATAATCCTTGTGTAAACTTATCTAGCAAGCCTAAGCTGTCAAGTAGCTTGCAACAGCTAGCAAGTATAGCAACTATACTGCTGTTGACTATTACTTGCTTTTGCAAGCCAACCTCAATGCTCCTTGCATGTAACTAACAGCTGCTAGTATAAAAGAGCTGGCCCAGTGCTTGGTTTATAACAAACTCAAGCAATTAAGCATTTCCATTTGCCAAGCAACAGAAGTCATCATTGTCTGGAAGTCTAAAGACTTCAATTGATAGAGCACTAGTCAATATGCTAGTAGCTGACTTTCAACCAGCGTCCGTTGTTGAAGATGAAGGTTTTATTCGATTCTTGAAAGTCAATGATCAGAGATATCAGCCTCCAAGTCGTCGTACTCTCATGCGTGACCACCTTCCACAGCTATATGAGGAAAAGGTAGCAGAGCTGCAGGAGAAACTCATGTCCATTGAACATTGTACTCTGACCACTGACTTGTGGACATCAAATCAGACAATGGGTTACCTCACTGTCACTTGCCACTTCATTTCACAAAGCTGGGAAATAGAGTCCTATGTGCTGGAGACAACTCATGTGGATCAAGCACATACTATAGAAAATCTTGCATCAGAGTTAATGACTATCACTGACAAATGGAATATTAGTTCCAAAGTTCATTGCACTGTCACTGACAATGCTACCAACATCAAGGGAGCTGTGAGAGCAAATGCATGGAATCATCTCTCATGCTTTGCTCATACTCTCAATTTAATTGTTAGTAACTCGTTGAGCTCAGTTCCAGAAGCACAATCACTAATTCAAAGTGTAAAGAATATTGTTACCTTTTTTCGTCGTAGCACAAAAGCAATGGATAAATTGACTGTAATGCAATCTCGGCTTAATATTCCACAACATAAACTGATTCAGGATATTGAAACTCGATGGAATTCAGTCTTTTATATGCTAGAGCGATATTTGGAGCAGGAGGAGGCTATAAGGACTACCCTTTGTATGATGGATAGGAATGACCTTCTCATTCCCACTGAGAAAAACTCAGAGCTCTCAGAGATGGTGGATATCCTCAGACCATTTGAAGCTGTAACTCGAGAGATGTCTGCTGACAAATATGTCTCCAGTTCCAAAATAATACCTCTGGCAAAAGGTTTACAACGATGCAGCAGCAACAGTAACAACAAGATTAGTGAAGCATTATGTTCTCAGATGTCAGGAAGATTTCTCAATATGGAAGCCAATGTTCTAATTGCTTCAGCAACACTGCTTGATCCACGCTTCAAAAAAATTGGATTCTCTGATCAGAGAGCAGGTGATCAAATAGCTCGACATTTGACAGCTGAGATAACACAGATGATGAGATCCAGAGAAGCAACTAGTCAAACAACAGCCACAGCTACAACCAATGAAGTGGCCCAGGACACAGCTGATTCTGTATGGAGGTTTTTTGATGAACAGGTCTCTTCTCAATCTAACATGCATCCTGGGGTGACTGCCTTCTCAGAGGTAGATAAGTATTTTAAAACTCCAGTATTACAAAGGACAGAAGACCCACTTAACTGGTGGAAAGAGAACAGTCAAGTTTTTCCTCAGCTAGCTCCACTAGCAAGAAAGTATCTCAGTCTATTGGCAACTTCAGTACCTTCTGAAAGACTGTTTAGCAAGGCGGGTGAGCTAGTATCCCTGAAAAGGAACAGACTCAAGCCAAAGAACGTGAACATGTTTCTTTTCTTGAATAAATATCATTAATTGTACCATAGATATTATAGACTACGTAACCGGGATTGGAAACTAGCTCACGTGATCCATTCAAACCAGTACAAACCGGCTGACACAGGGTCCGTGATTGGATTTTGGTGGGTGTGGTCGAAAAATGGCTACTCATCGACGACATTCAAAGGAAGACTGTATTTAAACCAATGTTGATTTTTTGTTATTTTAATAATATTTCAATACTTTAGTGTTTGTGTAACATGACTATAATGAAAAAAATAATAATACCATTGTTACTTTGCAAATATACTGTGATATTGTTCAAATTTCTGTTACTTGCAAATTTTCAAAACTTTTTGTACCTGTTGCTCCATTACACGGGTAAAAATAGACTAACAAGATCATTGGAAATGTTGCCACAATCATTGTGCATGGAACTGTCATAGTTTCATTTACTGATTTGCTATGTCAGAGGAGTAATATCTAAAATACTGTTTCTGCGAACAGTCCACTGTCGTACCTGTTACAGCTTTTACAAAACAAGCAGAGGTTTCTCCTTTTGAGTGATGATAGGTTGATATTGTGTGCATGGAATTGGGGGGTTAGCATTTAAATTCATGCAAAGCAATTGACTACAGTAAACATTAAAGATAATAGCAAGAGTATAGTGATACATTCAATCACCATCGATAATATGATCACGTGATGCTGTAGTAACGGGACAAGCCGCACAAGTACCAGCTGCAATCAAAGCTGCAAAGGCATTCAAACTTGTGGTCTCTTATCTACCAGATTTATTGATAAAGAACCGATAGAAATACGGTAAACAAGCATGGATATAAAGCTGTACATTGCATAATTGTTTGACTACCATTGGCATGCTAAGCTGCTGCATGCACCATAGTAACAATGATATCATCTGCACTGCAGCCGGCATGAAGATTCGTCAGTGCAGAATTTTAAGTTAAAATAATTTTTTTAGATAATTATCAAAAACATGCCAAGAAAGAATACCTTTTCTGTTAAAAAACATCATTCCAAGGAGCAACGGCAATGGACAGTGGCCATCCCAATCTCTGCATTCACTATGTCGTCCTTTAATTCAATAAGTCAGCTGCAGTCTCGATTAGCTAGAGCTGATCTTAATTCTTTTGGTTGGGTGGAACATTACAACTCATCATATAACTCAGTCACATTAAGCAAATTCATCAATAAGGCATTATTTCTTGTATCCATAAGCTGTTCTTTGGAGTGGAGTGTTCACTGCAATGGGTACGATATTACTTGCTGTAATACCCTGAAGAGTCTCTCAGTGCCACACATTACAAATGTTCAGTATTTATATGACATTCTCAATGTCATTGATGACTGCAACCTCTGTTGTGGCAATGAGGTGACACAATTTCAAGATGTTATAACTGATGATGAACTACATCAACAAAAGAATGCTGCAATTGGTAAGAATTAAACTTTATATAAATATTTTAATACATTCACTATGTGCACATACCACATAGGAAAGAATTGCATCTTTGATAAATGCTGCTATATTATTGTGAACAAAAACAAGCGATGTGCTTCATGCTCCAAATACAGATCAGCATTGCTATCCCGTCAAAACCGCTTTAGAAAGGGAAATAGCCACTCCAATAAATCCTCTGTTAGCAGTAGCTACAGATATGACCTGTTGTCCAAGGAGGAGATGAAGGCGAGGATGAAGTTACTGCATGATGAACTAAGAATGGTGAAGAGACAGAGAGATAGGGTCAAAGAGAAGTTAACAGCAGCAATTGATGCTCAAGGTATATCCTTGAGTTCTGATATGCACAATGACTTTAAGCATATTATGCTAACTGATGGTGCATCATTTCTTAAGAGCCAATCATCAACTTACTTTCAGAGATTATTTTGGCAGCAGCAAATGGATGCTGTAATGACAAGGGATTCAAGGGGAATGAGATGGCATCCTCTCATGATTCGCTTCTGCATATTCTTGAGACAGCAATCACAGTCTGCATATGAAACACTTAGACAATCTAAATGCATTTGTCTACCATCACAACGCACACTGCGTGATTATACACACTATGCCAAAGCCAGTCCTGGTTTTTCTAGTGAAGTTGACTCTCAGCTTTGTAGTGCTGCT